TGTGCTGTATTACATTTATTGATTTTTATATGTGGAGCCACCTTTGCAACCCTGGAATGAAATCAAATTGTTCATGGAGTATGATCTTTTAAATATGCTGTTGAACTTGATTTTCAAATTTTTATTGAGAAATTTTGCATCTGTGTCCCTCAAGGATATTGATATCTAGCTTTCTTTTCTTTCCTCCTCCTCCTCTTTCTCCTCCTCCTCCCCTCCTCCTCCTCCTCCTCCTTCTCCTCCTCCTCCTCCTCCTCCTCCTCCCCCCCCTCCTCCTCCTCCTCCTCTTTCTTCTTCTTCCTTTTTTGGGGGAGGCCTTACCTGGTTTTGCTAGCCATCTAATACTAGCTTTGTAGAATGAGTTTGGAAGAATTCCTTCCCTTTCTATTTTATGGAATAGTTTGAGGAGCATTGGTATATGATTTTCTTTAAAAGTCTGGTAAAATTCAGCAATTAATCCATCCAGTCCTGGACTTTTCTTTGTTGGAAAGACTTTAGGTTAAAATATTACATTGTAAACTATTAATATACATAATTGTCAATTAAGATAAGTTGTCAATATTTGTCAATCCATTAATATACTTATTTGTCAATTAAGAAAAATTAATAAAAAAGAAAACTGGAAATATTCTACTCCAGTATTATTACAAATTGTTATATTTCATTGTTAGGGTCTTTATCTCTTGACTCAGTTGGATAAAAACTTAAGTATTTTCTAATTTTAATCCACCTTATTGGTATGTAATAGCTCATTGTCTTCCTTTATGATCCCGTGTATTACTGTGTTATCAATTATAATGTCTCTCCTTTTATTTCTAATTTTATTTGCATTGTCTGTATTTTTCTTTGTTAATCTTGCTGAAATTTTGTTGCTTATTTTTTCAAAAAGTGAACTTCAATTTTGTTGATCTTGTGTATTATTCCTCTGTTTTCTATTTTAGTCATTCTAATGTTTGTTATTTTCTTTCTTTTGTTATGTTCATGACTTGGTTTCTTATTTTTCTGTTTTTCTTTTTGAGGCATGATGTTAGGTTGTTTATTTAGAATCTTTCTTTTTTAACACATAGATATTGATATAAATGTCCCTTTGATAACAGTTTTGTTGTGTTATAGTTAAAGCTTCATCCCAGGGTTTCATAAACTGACTTCCAGACCACTCACGTATAATCGAATCAAGCCTTTATTGAAGCACACCGTGGTGGCTGGCCAGAACATAAAGCTGTTCTCCTGATCAGCCCCGAACAATTGCAAGGGCACTCCTTATAAGCCTGAAAACCGCAAAAGGGATGTTGGGGGGGGGGGGGTCTAGCCAATGCAAGCAAGCCAGGTTACCGAAGCGGGACAGTGCCGTCAAGCGGAGGGAAACCTAACCAATCACAGTTAGCCAAGTCACTCCAGTTACAGAAACATAGCCCCATTACCCTAGTTACAGAAACAATACCCCATTAGGTAGTTTTGTGTTCTTAAAGGTTTCTATAGCAAAAGGAAAAGAACATTTTGCCCCAGTCATGACTCTTCTACTTGGCAGGGTTGTTATGATGAAGTCATAAAACAAAATGGAGTCACATTTGCTCCTACTATCACAGTTGTATCCCACAAACTTAGTTATATTGTGCTTCCAATTTTGCCAGTCTCAATATATTTTTTGACTCTTTTCCCCATCTTTTTGCTTGGGTTCAATTGTTGCTCAGAAATATTGCTTAATGTTTGCATATTTCTGACTGTTCCAAATTTACTTCTGTTTCATTTCTAGTTTCTTTTCACTGTAGTCAGGAAGGTACTTGGTATGATTCTATTCTTCTTAAATTACCTAAGATATATTCTCTCATCTAATGTATGATCCTGGAGAATGTTCTTCATGCACTTGAGAAGAAAGTGTGTTTCTGTGCCTATTAGAGAGAATATTCTGGATGTCTGTTAGGTCCATTTGGTCTAAGTGTTCTTTAAGCTCAGTGTTTCTTTGTTGATTTTCTATCTAGATGAACTACCCATTGCTGAAAGTAGAGTATTGATATCTATTTGTTCCTTCAGATATTTTATTATTTTCTTTATATATTTTGGTGCTCTGATGTTAAATGCCTATATGTTTATAATTATTGTTTTTTTAATTAATTAAGCATTTTGTCATTATATCATGACCCTGTTTGTTTTAACTGCTTTTGACTTAATAGCCATTCTTTTTCTTATATAAATATAATTACCTTTGCTCTCTTTTGGTTTGATGTGTGTGGAATTTCTTTTTCCTCCCTTTGTTTTCAGTGTCCATACACTGAAAATATCTTTCAATGTGAAGCAAGTCGCTTGTAAGGAACATAATATTGGGTCTTTTAAAAATACTCATTCAGACACTGTATGGTTTTGATTGAAGAACTTAATATGTTTTAAAGTAATTATTAATAACTATGCATTTACTACTGTCATATACAAAATTGTTCTAGAGGCTGAGGCAGGAGGATTACAAGTTTGAGACTGGCCTCAGCAATTTAGCAAGGCCTAAGCAACTTGGCAAATATGTCTCAAAATAAAAATAAAAAGGGCTGGGGATGTGGCTCAGTAGTAAAGCACCCCTGGGTTCAAACCTTAGTACCAAAAAAAAAAGAAAATTCATTTTCCTGCTGATTCATAGGTCCTTCATTCCTTGTTTCCTTTCTAGCAGTCTCCCTTTGTTATTTAATGATTTTCTGCAGTGATATGCTTTGAATCCTTTCTTTTAATCTTCTGTGTATCTGTCAAGGATCCCTTCTTTGTGGTTATCTTTAGGCATCTTATCATAGCGCCTGTTAATTATCTTCATATCTTTTATTATCCCCCCATTTCATGTCACATTGTTGGAATAACTTTCAGTTTACAGCTAGCAGCTATGAGCAACTCGGAGTGCTTGAAGAATCTATGCTCATTCAGGCCTGACAGGAACTCCTGCAGGATGGGGTGCTCCACTCTAGCAAGCCATTAGTGAAACCACATCTTCAGCACTTGTGGTTAGCAATGCCAAACTACCAGGCCAGGAAACTGATAGCCAGGAGCTTCAGGGAATGAAAGCCCTGACTTAAGAAGGCCCCCTCCCTAGGGACAAAGACCCTTCCAGACTTCTTTCTACCACAACAGCAATATTTAGAGCTTCCTCATAGTGTGGTTACATTAGGCATAAGATGATTGACTTATGGATATTATCTTGTTTATGTATGATTGGCAGGCATGCCTCACCCAAACCCTAGAACAGTTGTATGCATTCCAAAAATAAATGGGCTGCTGGACATCGACTGCTGTTGTCACCAGCCAGCTTCTCACCAGCTCTTAGTGTCTGTGTGTTGACTCCGCATCTCTACCCCCCACAACTAGCCAAGTGACTAATTGACCACATCAGTAACCAGAATGACCACATCACATTTTACATGTTTAAATAATTTATATTCCTTAACACATTATTTGAGCTGTAGTTGTTTTAAATATTTTTTCTTTTAACCTTCATATTCAAGATAAATTGGATTTTCATATCATGAGTATTAGATTATTTCTCCTGTTGAGTGTCCTTTGAGTTTTCCAGACCACAATTTCAGTTTTCCTCCCCAGACTTACCAGGAAGTTTTTCTTTGAAAATACTTTTGGTCCCTTTCTGTGTCTCTTAGTCTAGAACTCCAGTCAGACGTCTTTTCTTCTTCTTGATGATATTCCACAAGTCCCTTCTTTCTTTTTCATTTTATTTTCTTCTTTCCCTCAGATTTTTGACTTTCAATGAACCATCTTCAAGTTCCCTAATCCCATCTTCTGTTGCTCTCACCTGTTGTTGATCCCTTCTGGTGAATATTTGAGTTCTTCAGCTCTTTGATTTGGATTTGGTACTTTTAAATATTTTCTATCTCCTTGGTAAAACTCTTGGTTTGTGTTTACATTGCTCTCCTTTTGGGAAACATCTTTATGACTGTATTACTTACTTTTCATCACTAAAACAAAATGTCTGAAGTGGGCCATTTTAAGTAGTTGCCTAATAAATAGACATCCTCGATTAGCTGTAGACTAAATGACAGTGATTTGAAAGTTTGAGAAGTCTTCGAGAAGGTTTAATTTAAAATGTTTGAGAAGTCTTCCATCTCTTTTCTGTCTGATTTTGGGCAAATAACTTAATTGGTTGTTAGAGTGTCTCAATTGCTTTAACTGCAAATGTGTGGAAAAGCACTATGCCCTCCTGGAATTACTGAGAACCAAAGGTCATTGTTAGGAAGGAGGGTTTGCATGTGCACTATGGGCTGAGCTGTGTGCTTTCATCAATACTGACATCTCTGTCAATTTTAGTCAGCTTCTTCATTCCTTCATTACTGTAACCAAAAGACTAGATGAAAATATTGTAGAGGAGGGAAAGTTTATTTTGGTTCATAGTTTCAGAGGTTCAGTCCATGATCGGTAGAGTTCTTTGCTCTGGATCCAAGATGAGGCAGAACATCATGGAGGAGAGGAGAAAAACAGTTCAGGCCATGGCAACCAGGAAACAGAGACAGCTCCACTCATCCAGGACAAAATACAAACCCTAAAGGTACATCTTCAGTGAATTACTCCTCCAGCCACACCCTACATGCCTACAGCTACCATCCAGTTAATGCATATCAGTGGAATAATACTGATTGGGTTCAAACTCTCATAATATAATCCTTATACCTCTGAGTATTTTTGCACTCTCACCCAAGAGCTCTTGGGAGATACCTCACAACACCATCCTTTCTGTCTTCTGACTGCCTCACCCCAAACTCTCACATCCACTTTACAACACTCCCTAATGTTTATAAAATAGTGATGAGGTCTGAGTGAAATAAACTCACATCAATCAGGAACAGGGTTACTGTCACAGAGGTTACTGTCACAGGGAGTGGGGGGTGTCTCTGGTGAGACAGCTGATGTGACTCTCAGTTCAGGCTGCATTTGTGGAGTCAGGGATCAGAGAAAATGATCAGGGACCATGGAAGGTATTCTAGCCTTGTTATTAAGTTGCTTCTCTGTGCTCTCCTCTCTTGTCAAGCCTTAAATTTCTGACAGCTTACTTGTGATCTCAAGACTGTTCAACTTTCTCTTCTCAGAACTGACTGAATTCCTGGAAAGACAAATTTTGGTTTCACTTTTGTGTTCTGGGAAATACAGTTGATTCAGAAATGGGACTTTCCCAACTTCCTCCATGATTGGTCAGCATCACACAGAAAGGTGGGAGAGAAGCCAAGTGAGTATATAAGCCCTGTTCAGCCACCTTGTGTGTGTTACTTTGCACAGACAGAGAAGAGGTAGATTTCAGAAGAAGAGCCTATCAGAGCTACAAAGCCTTAAACAATAGTAAGCCATCAACCAGACACAGGATTTTCTACTAATCCAGCAAGGCTATTCAGGTGACTTCCGACCCAAAAGATTTCTTTTCTCTAAGAAAATTTTGGTTACCAAAACATTTAGGAGCACGGACTGGAGGGATGAGATGCTCAACTTGGAAGCTAAGGAGCCTTGATGGAAGGGAGGTAGGATGGGCTAATGAACAGTCATAGTTAATCACTGAAGTTCAGGCAAATTTAAAGCAAATGTTTTGGATATTTTTTACTTGGTGAAATGTTTTTTTCATTAGTCTTGTTCTGTCTCTAGCACCTCCCTCTAGAATGGTTGAAAATGTATGTGTCAGAATATATTAGGGAATATCACCACAGAATATGTGAGGTTGGTTCTGTCTCAGTTCTTTTATTCCCTGTTCTTATATTATTAACTCTAATTCAGCACTTTTTATTCCTTCCTTTGCAGCATAAGCTAGACTTGGAGCAGGGGCAACTCTGCATGCCACCTCTGCTATAACTAACTGTAGAACATTTATGACTGGTGAGTCTTTCATTTTTAAAATGTAGAGTAGGAATGCTAATGATCTCTTGTGAAGAAAAGTCAGGCAAGTCAGGAAAAAATGGTAAAATAATGTCATTGAGACATGTATCCTTTAAAATGATTGATAGTGCAAATCCTTGTCCCTTGTGTTCATAGTGGACAAGACATTTAAAGCAGACTATGGAGTGTCATTGAAACAGGGAATTGGTAGAGGATAAAAGAGAGGAAGACTGAAAAAATAACGAAGTCTGCTCATAACACAATGTGCTCTTAGTGACTTTCTGGACATGCCAGAGGGTTCTTTTTTCCTTCCTTAGTGAATCTGGCTATGGTTCTTTTTTTTTTTTTTCTGTGTTACTTGCTGGTTTAGCATCTCTTCTATTCTATTCTATTCTCTTTATCCCCATCTTTCTGGTCAACAGTCAGAATGACCTCATCCTGGGGCTTTGTTCATGAGTCAGCAACTGATTCTTCCCACTCCAGTTTGGCTATTTCTAGATGCTCTGAGACTGCTCCCATGGCCTCCAGGGTTGCTGTGGGCCCATCCACCCGTGAGTTGCAGAGCTCACTGGATACTTTTCAGTGGGTTTCACAAACACCACTCAGGGGCCATGTTTCAAGGCTGCTTGCTTTATGCCCCTGCGGTTCATCATGTTCTTTATTATCCTCCTTTTCTTCCAATCTTCTCTGGGGATTAGTATGAGGAGAAAATCCCTGATTGGCCATGTGAGGTCTGCACAGTTCCCAGTAGATCCTCGCATCACTGTCCTCCCCTACAGTCCAACAGATTGGATAGATTCCTTCACATTTCTGGGTGTTTTCCTTGGTTTCAAGCAGAAAAATTGGCACCACTATTAAGGAGTTCCCTGACCAGACTTCATATAAATGTGAAAGTAATTTCTTCCTAAATCATGACTCTACCCTGCACAGCCCACCTCAGGACTGTGCTATGCTATAAGGTCCCTGAAGGAGGAAAGGAAGGATTTCCACTCATCCCAATATGGAATATGGAAATCTGGGGGCTGATAATACTTCAGAGTATGTTGTGGGACAGTAAGCTACATCCCTGATCTCTGCACAAGAGATGTCAGTAGCATCTCACCTTCCACTTGTGACAACCAGAGATTTCTACATAGATTGCCAAGTGTCTCCAGGGGTTCAAAATTATCCTGATAGGGAACCATTGCCAGAGGCACATTCCTGTCTTTATCTTGACCATGTTCTTTAACATTGGTTCTGTCATGGTGTCCTGGTACCTTCTCCTGAAGATCTGTTCTCTCATTCTGTATTGAAGAGTTCCCAGGAAGCATCTTGCTTGTTTATTCATGTTCCCAATATTCAGGCCTCAGTGTCCTAATTTAACTGTAAGGCTGACCCAGTGAGCACTTATTCTTCCTCTTGTAATATTTCGCATATGCTCTCCTGATGTTTATGTACTTGTGGGCCTCTGGCCACTGGAATTTTTTTTTTTTTAGACATCATTTAAGATTTCACAGAAGTCATTGAGATGCATGTGGATGCCACCAAGCAAACTTAATTTGGTTCAAAACATCCACAGAGGTTTTGCATATCATGTATCTGCTTTTTTCCCCATTTTGTCTCATTTTGGTTTTTAAGCAAACATTTAGTGTTGATTTTGGGCAGGTGTGTGGCAGCCCTTCCTTTGAAACACAAGCACCTTGTCTGCCATCAGAATGAAGTGTTCTGTGGCTTTCATTTCCTGTATAGCTTTATCCATTTCCCACTGTAGAACACAGAGGGTAGAGGGGTTGCCTGTGGCCTGAATCTCTTTGTCTGTGTGTTGGCTCATTTGCATGGTACTTCTTGATTCTAAGGAGAGGCCCTGTTTTGTAGTAGGATGTTGTTTGGTTCTCTTAAGAAGCCTGGCACACACTCTCTATAGGAACTTCATGGCCATGGACCGGTTAGAGCCAGAGAATAGGCCTAACAGTTCATGAGAGCATTTTAGTGATTTCCTCATTTAGTCTATTCATTCCATAAATAGTAAGTCATCATATTTCTGTGGATATTGGTGATGGAGGAGTGAGCAAAGCAAAAACACATCTTGCCACCCTGATGTTTCATTGTACTGTAATTAAATAAGTACATAAAAATATCAAGTCATTTGGTGATGTGTGTTATGGAGAAAAGGGATATATAAAAAAGAATGATGAATGATGGGGACAGGTGCAAGGTCAGATCTCAATAAGAATATAAAATTCAACAAACCTCATATAAGTTGAAAAGAGCTTAGAGGATGGTGAAGGATTAATGACCCATGGGACAGACAAGGGAAGAGCAATCTAAGAAATGGGAACAGTAAATCACTGCAAAAGTCCTGGGATAGAAACATGGGCCAGGAAAGACAGGGTGGCTGGAATGCAGCAAACAAGGGGCCCAGATGTGGTACCAGAGTTCAAAGCTATGGTGTGTATGGCAGGTGTGCTATGTATGTGAAATGAGAATCCCTGTGGTGGCTTTAAGGAGAGGAGTGACATGATCTAACTTATACATTTAATGAATAACTCTGGCTATGTTTGAAAATAAATGTTGCTGGTAAGAACAAGGGGATAAAAAATAGTAAAGTGTCAAATGACGTATTCCAAGCTGGAAATGATAGTGCGTTGGACCAGGTCGCCTGGCTGCTTTATGATGAATGATCTAAGTGAATAAACTTGGAGAAATAATCAAAAAGGTTGTTTACAAATTTAATGGAGGATTAGATAGGAATATGAGGATGAAAATTTACTGAAGGGTTTTAATGTGTTTCCCTAATTAATGATGGGGGTCCATGTGCTGACATGGGAAGTCTTAGAAGATTTAGTTTTAGGGAGAAGAGAATGTAAAGATGCCAAACCTAAGCTAGCTAAATATTGTTTAGAAAACCATCTTGCTTTCTTCTTTTTCTAAAATGTCACACTAATATCAGTAGACTATATATATATTTCTTTTTTTTTTTTTTTTTTAATTTTTTTTATTGGTTGTTCAAAACATTATAAAGCTCTTCACATATCATATTTCATACATTAGATTCAAGTTGGTTATGAACTCCCAATTTTACCCCAAATACAGATTGCAGAATCACATCGGTTACACATCCACATTTTTACATAATGCCCTATTAGTAACTGTTGTATTCTGCTACCTTTCCTATCCTCTACCATCCCCCCTCCCTCCCCTCCCATCTTCTCTCTCTACCCCATCCACTGTAATTCATATCTCTCATTGTTTATTTTCCCATTCCCCTCACAGCCTCTTATATGTAATTTTGTATAACAATGAGGGTCTCCCTCCATTACCATGCAATTTCCCTTTTCTCTCCCTTTCCATCCCACCTCATGTATCTGTTTAATGTTAATCTTTTCTTCCTGCTCTTCCTCCCTGCTCTGTTCTTAGTTGCTCTCATTATATCAAAGAAGACATTTGGTATTTGTTTTTTAGGGATTGGCTAGCTTCACTAAGCATAATCTGCTCTAGTGCCATCCATTTCCCTGCAAATTCTATGATTTTGTCATTTTTTAGTGCTGCGTAATACTCCATGGTGTATAAATGCCACATTTTTTTTATCCATTCATCTATTGAAGGGCATCTGGGTTGGTTCCACAGTCTAGCAATTGTGAATTGTGCTGCTATGAACATCGATGTAGCAGTATCCCTGTAGTATGCTCTTTTAAGGTCTTCAGGGAAAAGTCCAAGAAGGGCAATAGCTGGGTCAAATGGTGGTTCCATTCCCAGCTTTCCCAGGAGTCTCCATACTGTTTTCCAGATTGGCCGCACCAGTTTGCAGTCCCACCAGCAATGTACAAGAGTACCCTTTTCCCCACATCCTCTCCAGCACTTGTTGTTGTTTGACTTCATAATGGCTGCCAATCTTACAGGAGTGAGATGGTATCTTAGGGTGGTTTTGATTTGCATTTCTCTGACTGCTAGAGATGGTGAGCATTTTTTCATGTACTTGTTGATTGATTGTATGTCCTCCTCTGAGAAGTGTCTGTTCAGGTCTTTGGCCCATTTGTTGATTGGGTTATTTGTTTTCTTATTGTTTAATTTTTTGAGTTCTTTGTATACTCTGGATATTAGGGCTCTATCTGAAGTGTGAGGAGTAAAAATTTGTTCCCATGATGTAGGCTCCCTATTTACCTCTTTTATTGTTTCTCTTGCTGAGAGAAAACTTTTCAGTTTAAGTAAGTCCCATTTGTTGATTTTTGTTATCAACTTTTGTGCTATGGGTGTCCTATTAAGGAATTTGGAGCCCGACCCTACAATATGTAGATCGGAGCCAACTTTTTCTTCTATCAGACGCAGAGTCTCTGATTTGATATCTAGCTCCTTGATCCACTTTGAGTTAACTTTTGTGCATGGCGAGAGGAGGGGATTCAGTTTCATTTTGTTGCATATGGATTTCCAGTTTTCCCAGCACATATATATTTCTACTGGACTTACATGTATGTATAATATGTATACATGTATGTATGTATCTTTCAGGTAGCTAGTGCTATTATTTAGAAAGATTTTTCAGAAAAAATTA